CAAGAATCCAACAAATTTCCCTAACATTGCAGTAGGGTTTTCAGGCGTCATTTCATCAAGCTTAGTGTTTCCTTGCTTCTTTTGAAGAAAAGCAGCAAACTCATTGATCAAGGACACATGATTTGTTGAGAAATTGGCCATCCCATCAATTGAAGAACAAGCTGAGTGAAATGCTTTTAGAGTGACTCATCCTTTCCCATCTTTGATCATCTTGCCTTCCCTATCAAACTTAGGCTTTAACTCCGGATGAAGAATCCAACATTTTTCTCTCAAATGTCCCTTCATGTTGCAATAAGAACATTTCTGACCTGCTTTCTTCCCAAGCACCCTATCACCAGTTGCTTTGTGATTTGTCGTGAAAACCCTATCCTTAGAGTTGGATTTGGGCTCAACGTTCATCACTCTACCTATGACTTAGCTAAAGTGAGGATGACAACCCATACATACAACCTATCCCTTGAGATCTTATACAAACCAGTTTCAATAACATCATACTCCAATTTATACAGTTTCAACTAGCTCTGTTGCAATTCTTTCATGAGCTCTTTAACTTGTTCCTGCAATTTATGAGTTTGTTTTTTTTCATCTTCAACTTTAATTCTTCTTTATTCTTTAGAGATCAACTTCGCTAGAGAAACAAGCAATGGCGAAACTAAAATTTTTTCACCGGGTGGGCTAGCTTAAAGATTTAAATCTTTATAATAATAAAAACATGATACTGTATTTTCACAGTATCAGCTAGCTAAAGAAAATTTGACAAGGTGAGCCAAAAATTTTAGTTATTAAACAAATACGTGTTTAAATTCAAACAAATCCAAACTTGTACATATACAAGAATCGATGAGAAAAAAAGAATGTAAGAAAAAGAAATGGTTTGTAAACTGTATTATATAATTTTATATAATCAAACCAAGAAAATTTGGATCAATGACTAAATATATAGTGGGCTATATACGAAAATCAATAAAAATTACATGTCAAATTTTATTTTTCACCGAAAGCTACCTAGGTTATAGTGATAAGCTCATATTTATATATATTTTTCATCAAATTCACTTGTCTTTTCTTAGTTAGTTCCTTATATTTTTGAGCTATTTACTTAGTTTTTATGTTTTGTGTGATTTGTCAAGCAAAGAAAAGAAAAGTAGCACAAGTGGGATATTAAGTAACAAATTCGTCAAAACTGCCTGTGCAGATTAGTTGACTTTGGAAGCAAGTTGCAAATAGATCAGAATGAATGAGAGAATGAGATTTATACGCTTGGGAAGCTACGGATGTTTATTTTCTGGAACAATTCACGGATTGTTAATATCATTTTTCTAGAAGAAGTTATAGGCATTGTAGCACTGAAAGGTTTAGAAAAGGGTTAAGCAAATTTGGCTTATAAAATGAGAAAGTAAAGGCACATATTTTGTGTTTGCTTTTTCATCAACACTCAGCAGCAAATGGGGTTATGATTGCACTCATTTGCCTTTGGAGCAAGTGGAAATGCACAACTAGAAAAGAAAGGAAAGGCACAGCACAAGGGCAGAAAGAGATGCACAAAAGGTTTCCAATAAGGGACAGCCAACAATGCAACAGAAAACAAAGGAAAAAGAATGGCAGAGAGCACGGGTGCCCACTGTGAAGTGGAACTTTTCATTTAAAAAATGCCAACAGCAATCATGAACACAAATGGGTGGAGAATATGGAATTAGATGGTCTTCCACTAGTGGTCTATGTGGCTTTGGCAAAGAAAAAGAATCATAGAAGACGGCAACATAAGGCACGGCAGGGGGGAGAACAAAAACACACAGCAAAAGAAAGAAAAAACATACAGAAGAGAGTAAGAGGCACGACAGAGAGCAAGGAAGGAAAGAAGAAGAGGCTTCACTCGATTTATCTTGGTTTTATCTTCTCAAACCCATGTTTTACTTTTGGTTTAATTTGAGAATTATGTGTAACTAAATTTGAAGTAGTTAGGGGCTGTTTTGAAGCCCCGAATATGATTGCAAGTTTGTTATGACATTTCGTTGAATTGCTTTTATGAATGGATGAAAATTGGTTTACTACTTATGCCAGTGATGAATTCTTTATATGTTTTCTATGGATGCATACTTAGTAAGCATATCTAGGATTCAAATGCTATGAATATGTGTATGCCTGCCCTTGTTGAATGAGGACCTACATATGTTCTAGAGTAGTACTTGTTAATTGCAATTAACATGTGAACCAATTTCTAGGATAAGTAAGACAACGCCAATACTTACCATGCCTTGTAATGACTCAAACTCTTTTCGTTCTTAATGATTTCTACTTGTTAAATCTATGAACACGCCATTCTAGATTGCATGCTAGGAACTAAGTTAAGTTGAAAACGCCATTCTCTTAACATTCTACGTAAGAAAGAGTAATAGGTTGTGTTCTAACATTGAGCCAACTTGAGCATCTTCATCCGGAAATAAAAGGAGTTTGAATGAAACATAACATGTTTGCATGATTATTTGGTGGTGGATAGCAATTCCCCTTACTCGTTTTTCTTAAACTTGTGAACTACTAAAAATCTGTTTCTGTACTGTTTTTGTACGATTTAATTTAAATAGAAAATCAACTCCAAAAATCCCAAAAATTTGTGTGGGTGTCGTTGCTGTGTGTCTAGTGTTTGCATATTAAATTTCATAGACTTTAGACCAGTGTAAGTCAGTCTAATAATTATTTTTCGGTGGCTGGTCAGTAGGGACAGCAACCAGTTTTTGTGACATTTTAAGTAGTTAGATAAAACAATCTTCTGCGGGAAAGACCCTTATTTTCATATGCTACAATTGATAAATCTTAGTGTTAATAAGGAAAATTAATAGGATATTTGTGTGCTACTTTGTGGTGTGCTTTTATGCTTACCAAATTTTTGGCGCTGTGTCGCCGGGGATTGTTATTTCTAAAATTACTTATTTTTCTATTGCTTTCTTTTCTTGTCCAATTAGTGTTTTTGTTTTTATTTCAGGTACTCTTTGTAGTACATGCATACTCGAAAGTCTAAGAGCATTGATCTAACTTCCTACGATCCGGAGATTGAATGAACACTTTGAAAGCTTCAGAGAAAAATCAAGCAGAAGTGTGCATCGGTGTCTTTGCCACCATCTTCTCCACCACATTTGAGTTCGGAAGAGGATGAACCACAAGAAGGCATGGCTGATAACTGTACTTTGAGGGAGTTGGCAATGCCAAATACAGATCAACAACCATTGTGCATCACATATCCAAATGCATAATGAGGATTTGAGCTTAAGTCCGGCATGATTCACTACTTGCCTAAGTTCCATGGCTTCTCAATAGAGGATGCCAACAAGCATCTCATGGAGTTTCACGTGGTATGCTCGGGAATGAGACCAGCAAATGTGGATGAGGAGCAAGTCAAGTTGAGGGCATTCCCATTTACATTAGAAGCTAAGGCAAATGAGTGGCTTTACAATTTACATTCGGGATCAATGAACACATGGAACCAGGTGAAGCAAGCATTCTTGGAGCAATATTTTCCGGCCACAAAAGCTGCAAGCATAAGGAAAGACATATGTGCAATCCGACAACAACATGGAGAGCCCTTTGGAGAATACTATGAGCGGTTCACGCATTTGGTTGCATCTTGTCCTAACCATCAGATTTCAGAGCATTTACTAATACAGTACTTTTATGAGGGATTGTGTGGTACTGATCGTGTAATTCTTGATGCAGCAAGTGGATGAACATTCATGGATAAAGGGACATGCCACGAACATGTGCCCTTCATTGATGGATCAAGGTGGTCTTAAGCAAGCTAATACGTTAGGAGGGTTTCAGGGGTAACAAAGGCAAAAGTATGATCCATACTTCGACAACTATAACGCGGGGTGGCGTGATCATCCACACTTAAAGTGGAACAATCAAGACAACGAACAACAATGTCCTAACAACTATAACCGTCCACCTGGCTTTTTTCAAACAAGACCGCAAGCACTATTTCATCCTCAACAACAACAAGCTCCCAGTAAGTCTCTTGAGGATTTAATTGCTTCTTTAGCTAACTCTACTCAAACTCATCAACAGAAAACAGATAAAGCAATTGAAAACCTTGAGCGCCAAATGAGTAAGTTAGCAAGTTTGATAGGGCAACAACACAAACTAGGAAGGGTGCCTAGCCAAACCGTGGTGAATCCAAATGCGGAGCAGATGAATGATATGACTTTAAGAAATGGAAAAGAAGTTTTTGAGTAGCCGATGATGCAAAAAAGGACTACAAAAGATACAAATGAGCAAAGGGAGCTACAAACCAAAAATCTTGAGCAAAATGAAGCTTCAATAGAAACTGAAAAGTCTTCTAAAGCTACAGAATTGAACAAAAAAATTCTGATAAGGTAAGTAAAGAAGTTCAAAGTTCATTTAACTCATGTGTCCCTGTTCCTTTCCCTCGTAGGTTTATGAAGTCTAAGAAAGAGCAAACTGATAAGGAAATCATGGATACTTTCTGAAAAGTCCAAGTGAACCTACCTCTTTTAGATGCCATAAAACAAGTGCCCAAGTATGCAAAGTTCCTTAAATTGTACGAACAAAAGGAGATTCAATGATCAAGAAACTGTGGCATTAAGTGAGGAAGTATTAGCTGTTTTGCAGAGAAAGCTGCCACCGAAGTTGAAGGATGCCGGTAGCTTTACCATTCCATGTGTAATTAGAGGGAAAAAGTTTGGGAGAGCATTGTGTGATTTGGAGGCATCCATCAATCTGATGCCATATTCAGTGTATGAATCATTGAACCTTGGAGAGTTGAAGGAAACAAAAGTAGTAATCCAGTTGGCAGATCGTTCAAATAGATACCCAAAGGCCTATTGGAGGATGTACTTGTGCAAGTGAATGAGCTCATTTTTCCCGCTGATTTTTTTGTTCTTGAGATGGAACATGACCCTATGCCTACCGTGCTTCCTCTTATTTTGGGAAGACCATTCCTTAGAACGGCGCGTACGAAGATTGATGTCTACGATGGTACATTAACCATGGAAATTGATGGAGAAAACGTCAAGTTCAAAATCTTCAATGCTATGAGGTACCCTAATGATTTTGAATCTTGTCTTTATATTGATGCATTTGACTATTTTGGGTAGGATTGTTTTAATGATGGTATAGGACAAGATAATTTAGAAAAGGTGTTAGTGCAAAGCCTTACACATGGAAAACTTCATTATTTTGAGCACATTGAAGAAGAATTAATCCAAACAGTGGCAGACCTTGAGTCTCTTTCACCAATTCGTGGTAAGTCTTATTCTTATTTAATTTCTCTTCCTACTTCTAACGAGAAAACTCTTCCTTCTGTGATTCAGGCACCCAAATTGGAGCTTAAACCAATTCATGAACATTTGAAGTATGCATTTTTTGGAGAGGGTGAAACATTACCGGTCATCATATCGTCACAACTTTCAACAGAAGAAGGGGAAAAACTGATCCGGGTACTGAAGATTCACAAGACTGCCATAGCTTGGAGCATTGTAGATATCAAAGGTATAAATCCAGCTACATGCATGCATAGGATTCTGTTGGAGGAAGGTGCAAAACCAACAAGGGAAGCTCAACGCCGTTTGAACCCACTCATGATGGAAGTCGTAAAAAAAAGAGGTTATCAAACTTATTGATGTTGGCATCATATATCCTATTTCGGACAGCAAGTGAGTAAGCCCTATTCAAGTAGTTCCTAAATGATTTGGAGTCATAGTTGTTAAGAATGAAGCTAATGAGCTAATGCCTACACGTGTGCAAAATAGTTGGAGAGTCTGTACAGATTATCGGAAGATAAATAGCACCACACGCAAAGATCACTTTCCAGTCCCATTCATTGATCAAATGTTAGAAAGGCTAGCTGGTCATTCTCATTATTGTTTTCTTGATGGCTACTCTGGGTATATCAAATTGCAGTTGCTCCGGAGGATCAAGAAAAGACGACTTTCACATGTCCATTTGGCACATTTGCATACCGAAGGATGCCGTTTGGACTTTGCAACGCCCCTGCCACATTTCAGAGGTGTATGGTAAGTATCTTTTCTGATATGATTGAGAAAATAATTGAAGTGTTCATGGATGATTTTTCAGTTTATTGTGATTCTTTTGATACATGTCTACATAATCTGTCCCTAGTTTTAAAACGTTGTCAAGAAACTAATATGGTCTTAAATTGGGAAAAATGTCATTTCATGGTTTCACATGGATTAGTTCTAGGACATATCATATCTGAAAAGGGAATTGAAGTTGATAAATCTAAAGTAAAACTTGTTAGTGCTTTACCCCTCCCAAATACTGTCAGGGACATTCATTTTTTCCTTAGACATGCAGGTTTCTACCGTAGGTTTATGAAGGACTTCTCAATGATTTCTAGACCCTTGTGCCGTTTGCTTCAAAAAGATGCAACATTTGATATGAATGAAGAGTGTGTGGTGGCATTCAACAAGCTTAAGGAGTTGTTATCAACAGCTCCTGTGATTATGCCACCAAATTGGAATTTACCTTTTGAGTTAATGTGCGATGCTTCAGACTATGCTGTCGGTGCAGTTCTAGGGTAGCGTGTCAACAAAGTGCCACATGTCATCTATTATGCATCTCGAACACTCAATGATGCACAGTTGAATTATTCAACAACAGAGAATGAGCTTCTAGCTGTTGTATTTGCTTTAGAAAAATTTAGATCTTATCTGATTGGGACTAAAGTTATTGTGTTTTCTGACCATGCAGCTTTGAAGTATCTACTCACAAAAAGTGATGCAAAACCGCGACTCATTCGATGGATACTTCTTCTTCAAGAGTTTGATTTAGAGATCAAGGATAAGAAAGGGAGTGAGAATGTTGTAGCAGATCATCTTAGAAGAATTGTGCATTCAAACACAGAGGAAGATCTCATCCCTTTATGTGAGAGTTTTCCGGATGAGCAATTGTTTTTATTAAAGGTCACTGACCCTTGGTATGCAGATATTATCAATTACAAGGTCATAAAAAAGATTCCAGATGATTTTACACGTGCTCAGAAAGATAAGCTTGTCAAAATAGCCAAGTATTACAAGTGGGATGATCCTTATTTGTGGAAATATTGCCCTGATCAATTGATTAGAAGGTGTGTCCCCGAATCTGAGTTTAAATCTATTCTAACTTTTTGTCATTCTTATGCATGTGGTGGTCATTTTGGAACGAAGAGGACAACCCTTAAAGTGTTAGAGAGTGGTTTTTATTGGCCAAGTTTGTTTAAAGATGCGTATGAGTTTTGTGCAACATGTGATCGTTGTCAATGAACAAGTAACTTGGGCCCAAGAAATCAATGCCACAAACCCCTATTTTGATCATTGAGATCTTTGATGTGTGGGGCATTGATCTCATGGGACCTTTTCCATCTTCAAATGGTTTTCTTTACATTTTATTGGTTGTGGATTATGTTTCAAAATGGGTGGAAGCAAAGCCACCAAAACTAATGATTCAAAAGTTGTTTCAGATTTTATTAAGACTAACATTTTTGCAAGATTTGGAACACCTAAAGCAATCATCAGCGATGGAGGGAGTCACTTTTGCAATCGAACATTTGAAGCATTGCTTAGGAAGTACAATGTCACACATAAGGTGTCTACACCTTATCATCCGTAAACTAGCGGTCAAGCAGAAGTATCAAATCATGAGGTGAAGCAAATTTTGGAGAAAACTGTGAGTCCTAGTTGGAAGGATTGGAGCATGCGCTTGAACGATGCACTGTGGGCTTATAGGACTGCCTATAAGACTCATATTGGAATGTCCCCATTTCAATTAATTTATGGGAAATCATGCCGTCTTCCAGTAGAGTTAGAGCACAAAGCTTATTGGGCGATCAAAGCCTACAACATGGATATGAGTTTTGTCGAAAAGCAGAGGAAGCTTCAATTAAATGAATTAAATGAAATCCGGAATGATGCATATGAGTCTAGTCGAACATACAAGGAGAAATCAAAGGCATTTCATGACAAGATGATCTTAAGAAAGAGCTTTGTCATTGGACAGAAAGTTCTTCTATTTAATTCTCGCCTTCAGTTATTTCCAGGTAAGCTTCGTTCTCGATGGGTTGGTCCATTTGTTATAACAAATATTTTTCCTCATGGTGCAGTGGAAATCCAAAGTGCAAAGACCGGGAACGTGTTCAAAGTGAATGGGCATAAACTCAAGCCATATTAAGAGTCTTTTGCGGAGCATGATGTGGAGGTTGTACCTCTCCAAGAACAAGCTCCCTTTGGATGATTACTCTTGGTACCGTCTGGCTGCGGACGTAAAAGCAAACGCTTATTGGGAGGCAACCCAATATTTCTATCATTGCCTTTTTCTGTCATTTTCAATTTTCTTGCGTGCTAAATTGAATCATTTCTTTTCTTTGTGGGAATATTTGGGTTATGTCCACCCTTGGAGTTGATTGCAGAATTAAAGTTTAGGGATCATCATTTGATTTTACTGCAAATTGGGGAAGTTTTTAGTCCACATGCTTTATTTTGTTTCTCGTTTCTTTTTATTTTATGCATTATTGTGTTTTATGACATTGGGGACAATGTCCAGTTTAAGTTTGGGGGTAAGGAGTAAAAAAAATGACCAAATTGAACTTTTTTCGTACCTTCAACTAAGAACTGGTTTCATTTGTTTCCGTGTTGTTGCTTTGTTTTCTTTGTTAGTTTTGAATTAGATTTTTGTTAGTTTCCCGACCCAATGATATAATTGGATCAAATTTGAACCATGGTGATCAAGAACTCAGTAAACATGTGTTGTGTGAAATTCCTAATTCTCTTGTTAGCTTTGTACATGTTTGATCATCTTTGAAAAACCAAATGCACATAGCCTTGTTGATGTGAAACTAAAGCATGACATAAAGCTTCATATATGAATATAGTGACCATATACATCCTATGTGAGTTTTTTGAGCCTATTGAAAGTGTGTGCATTTTTCATACACTCCTATTCTTTCATGTGTGATGAACTTTTGTGAATTATATCTCTAGAACTTGCGTAACGATCTTTCGAAATGTTTGACATTAATTGCATGAACTTGAAAAGGATAGAGGCATTAGGTTTACCACCATGGCCCAAATAAGCATGTTTCCTACAGAAAAATGATATAATTAGATTGTCAATTTGAGCCGTATATATTGAGCCTTTTATTTCTTATCACCAAATATGTCTACCCTTATACCTTAAACATTTTTCCTTACCCTTTCCAAGCTAGCTAGTGAGCAATGTGAGATTGTCTTATGAGAAATGTTTGTAAAGGACTATGAAGGTGTTTGGCAAAAGAATAAGTGTGAGGGTATGTCTTATTTGTATGTAGTTATGTGCCAAATGGTTCGGTAAAACCAAAAAAAAAAAAAAAAAAAAAAGAAAAAAGAAAAAGAAAAAGAAAAATTGTATATAAAGCAAATAAAAAGTTTTCAAAGTTTCAGTTTAGGGGTGTGATTGGAGGTATTAGTAGAGTGGCTAGAAAGTTAGAGTTCTTATAAATCTCAACAAGAGAATTGCTTGCCATGTAGCTTGGAACTTGTGTTTACCTATCCTTTCATTTCAATAACCCTCTCCTTAAGCCTCATTACATCCAATAAAAGTCCTCTTGATTTGAGTTTTGCAATTATGATTGTGGAGATGTGATCTTTATGTGAGCTTATGGTAGATCTTTCACATTTGATTCTTTGAGCGAAACACGTTAAACTAAACATATGTGTGATTGAGTGTATGCCCCATGAGAAGGTCACTAGTTTGCATGTGGTGTTTTAAAAAAAATAAATAAAATTGCATTAGCATGGCTATTACACACACTGCACTTCAAGGACGATTAAAAGCTTACTGCTAACATTTGAATAAGGAAGATGCGCTTGGATTAGCTTGTTTGATGCTTGCTAAGGTTCTTGATGATTTGTATTCTTGAATGAGATTCTATGAGGGTCACATAGGGGGAAGCTAATGTTTTTCGTGTTGCTACTTTTTAATGTTTTCTTTGTTTTGCTCGAGGACTAGCAAAAGTTAAGTGTGGGGGTATTTGATAAGCTCATATTTATATATATTTTTCATCAAATTCACTTGTCTTTTCTTAGTTAGTTCCTTATATTTTTGAGCTATTTACTTAGTTTTTATGTTTTGTGTGATTTGTCAAGCAAAGAAAAGAAAAGTAGCACAAATGGGATATTAAGTAACAAATTCGTCAAAACTGCCTGTGCAGATTAGTTGACTTTGGAAGCAAGTTGCAAATAGCTTAGAATGAATGAGCGAATGAGCCTTATACGCTTGGAAAGCTACGGATGTCTATTTTCTGGAACAATTCACGGATTGTTAATATCATTTTTCTAGAAGTTATGGGCATTGTAACACTGAAAGGTTCAGAAAAGGGTTAAGCAGATTTGGCTTATAAAATGAGAAAGTAAAGACACATGTTTTGTGTTTTGCTTTGTCATCAACACTCAGTAGCAAATGGGGTTATGATTGCACTCATTTGCCTTTGGAGCAAGTGGAAATGCACAGCTAGAAAAGAAGGAAAGGCACGGCACAAGGGTAGAAAGAGATGCACAAAAGGTTTCCAATAAGTGACAACCAACAATGCAACAGAAAACAAAGGAAAAAGAATGGCAGAGAGCACGGGTGCCCACTATGAAGTGGAACTTTTCATTTAAAAAATGCCAACAGCAATCATGAACACAAATGGGTGGAGAATATGGAATTAGCTGGTTTTCCACTAGGGGTCTCTATGGCTTTGGCAAAGAAAAAGAATCATATAAGACAGCAACATAAGGCACGGCAGGGGGGAGAACAAAAACACACAGCAAAAGAAAGAAAAAACATACAGAAGAGAGTAAGAGGCACGACAGAGAGCAAGGAAGGAAAGAAGAAGAGGCTTCACTCGATTTATTTTGGTTTTATCTTCTCAAACCCATGTTTTACTTTTGATTTAATTTGAGAATTATGTGTAACTAAATTTGAAGTAGTTAGGGGCTGTTTTGAAGCCTCGAATATGATTGCAAGTTTGTTTTGACATTTCGTTGAATTGCTTTTATGAATGGATGAAAATTGGTTTACTACTTATGCTAGTGATGAATTCTTTATATGTTTTCTATGGATGCATACTTAGTAAGCATATCTAGGATTCAAATGCCATTCTCTTAACATTCTACGTAAGAAAGAGTAATAGGTTGTGTTCTAACATTGAGCCAACTTGAGCATCTTCATCCGAAAATAAAAGGAATTTGAATGAAACATAACATGTTTGCATGATTATTTGGTGGTGGATAGCAATTCCCCTTACTCGTTTTTCTTAAACTTGTGAACTACTAAAAATCTGTTTCTGTACTGTTTTTGTACGATTTAATTTAAATAGAAAATCAACTCCAAAAATCCCAAAAATTTGTGTGAGTGTTGTTATTGTGTGTCTAGTTTTGCATATAAAATTTCAAAGAATTTAGACCAGTGTAAGTCAGTCTAATAATTATTTTTCGGTGGCTGGTCAGTAGGGACAACAACCAGTTTTTATGACATTTTAAGTAGTTTGATAAAACAATCTTCTGCGGGAAAGACCCTTATTTTCATATGCTACAATTGACAAATCTTAGTGTTAATAAAGAAATTAATAGGATATTTATGTGCTACTTTGTGGTGTGCTTTTATGCTTACCATATAGCCCAGGGTAGCCCTTAACGTGGCATCACTAGTGGAAACAAGAAGAGACTTCTATTCAATATATTATTGCGTTACATACTTTGTCGTTTTACCGAGATCCAACCGTTGATTTTGAAAACATATATATATATATATATATATATATATATATATATATATATATATATATATATAGAGAGAGAGAGAGAGAGAGAGAGAGAGAGAGAGAGAGAGAGAGAGAGAGAGAGAGAGAGAGAGAGATGGTTCTTTGTACACCACTAAGAAATTCGCTCACAGGATGAAATGTATCACATCCATCACATAATGAAACATGTTGCATGCAGGATGACATGTGAGAGAGAACGCGTATGGCCACACTATGTAAATTGGAAAAACAAGTGAATCCATAGACACAAAATAAGGATGCATGCAACTCGGGCTATTGGATGGGTTTGAACCATCAAACCTTACCTTGACCTTCTCGCCTTCATAATCTAAGCTCATTGTTTGAAACGAGAATTAGGCGGATTGAAATAACCCCTTTTTATGTATGTAACACTTAATTTAAGTGTTGTAGTATAGACTTTTTGGTTTGAGTTGTGTTCAGTTGAGCAAAACCTCAACTTGACCCATAGAGATTACCTCAACTCAACTCGAACTTGGATTGAGTTCAACTAAATTCGAGTTAGCCCAACCTATGTTCGAGTCATATAAACTATCTCCAGACGACAAACAACATCTAAACTGGCCCAAAAGTTCCAAGCAAAGGCCAATCCCACACTGAAAACCCATTAGGCCTTAAATGTTAACTTTTTTTTTTTTTTTTATTTTCTCTCCAAGTGTGAGAGGGTTTTTTTTTTTTTAGAGTCATTCCCACCATTAGTATGAGTAGCTTCCAACCTGTCGATTTCATTGCCGCCAGCCCTCACCGTGGCAAGGGTCAATGGAAGATCTATGTGTTTTCTTTCTGCTTCCTCCTTTTGTTCCTTTTGCTTCCTCTCTCTCCATCTATCTTTACAATTTTAACCAGTCTGTTATACTTTATGGGCGTCCATCTTCTTGGACCTTTTTCGATCCAATTTGCAATCAGTTTTCAACACATTTTGATGTACTTTTTTTAGAATGTGTGTAGAGTTCTGATGACGCCAGCTCGAGTGTTTACAAGACCACCTCTTTCTCTCTATCTACCTTTGTTGGAAGTGTTGTCTGTGGTAATCCCACGTGCTTCTTTCAATTTCTAACTGAGACCGGTGTGGAGTTCGTGGCTAAGGAAACGAGGTATCACTTCATTTCATCTTTACGGTGTTGCTTGATCGGGAAGAACTGTTGCGGCAGTGGGAGCAATCTGGAACGTTCTGGAGCTTTGTATCAAAATTTGGGCTTTGGATTGGGCTTTTTTAAGATAGTTTGGGTGGCCCATTTTTGTCTTGTTAATATTTGTTTGTGAGCATTTGTCTTGTAATTAACTTTTGTAATAAAACTTCTTCATTTCTATAGAAAGGATTTATAAAATAAAAAATAAAAAATAAAAAATATATAAAAAGGTAAATTACATA